TGCTCATGTTAGTAAACAAAAAAAAAGACAATAGATAGAACATAAAAGATGAATATAAAACTTATAATTAAAATTATAATCAGAATAAAAGCAGATGCATTCAAGACAAAATGCCCAATAAATATAATACTGTTACTATGTGCAAGGATAATTATATATAGTATAAGAACAAGAATAAAATAAATTAGTAAAATATTGAAAGTATGCATACACATATATTTTATATGTTTACAAACACTAGCTGTGAAAAGTTTGGACACATACTCAAAAAAGGGCTTTCCTTGTTTTTACTGTTTTTTCACATTTTAGAAAATAATAGTGAAGACCTCAATGCTATAAAATAACACACATGGAATTATCCAGTGATCCCCCAAAATAAAAATAAAAAAGTTGAACTATATTAGTATAGATTCTACTCTTGGTATTCTCTCAAGCAGCTTCATGAGGTTTGAAGAAATTCCTTATGCTAAATACACTGTGCTGAGCACTTGTTGGCTATATATACTTATTTTTGTAATATGACAAAATGGTTGACAAACAAAACAGCCAATTCCACTGCTGATTTTCTTTTTTAACCAGATTCCAACTGAGGCTACCAAGGCAAATTATGTAAATTAGGTACTAATATTACTGATGTAATTACTGATATTTTTAAAGGTCTTCTTTTGCACATAAATAGGAAAACATTGTGATTATTTTTAAGTTTTAAAACAGAACATGTGGACATCAAATTGTTTATTTGTATTTATAATTTTAAAAAATGCAAAACAAGTCCAGATGATTAAAATCTGTTATTCACTCACATCTCACTGACAGTGACTGACTGTACATCTGTGTGTGTGTGTGTGTGTGTGTGTGTGTGTGTGTGTGTGTGTGTGTGTGTAAGAAATGGGAGACTGTGGAAGGAAAATTAGACCTTATCCAACACGTTCACTTGCTGCAATGTTTTCCCCCCACTTTCTCAGCATTAAATAGTCAATTCAGACAGAAAGACAGAAAAAGCTTGCCCCATGGTACAATGATAAAACCCGTACCTTAAAACAAACAGTACAGAATCTAGAGCAGAAATGGAGATCAACCAAGCTGGAAGTGTTCCACTTTGCCTGGAAGGACAGCTTTATAGAGTATAGAAATGCTCTCACTAAAGCTCGCTCAGCATATCTGGCCTCGCTGATCGAGAATAATAAATATAATCCTAGAGTACTGTTTAGTGTGATTTCCAGAATTACAAAAAATCAGGCAGGTACTGAACCACAAATTCCAGCGACTCTCACCACAAGTTTTTATGGACTTTTTTAACAATAAAATCGAAAATATTAGACAACAAATTCAACCCACAGTATTAAATCCAACTTGGCTGTCATCTGCTGTGGCTGATATAAAACATAACGTAGTTGCAGAAGAAAGGCTGGAAATTTCTACCCACTCCCACAGTTAGAACTAGAGAAGATTATCTCCTCTGCAAATTGTACAACCTGCACACTTGATGCAATTCCCTCAAAATTACTCAAAGAATTACTACCAGTTATCATCAATCCTCTTTTAACTATAGTAAACCCGTCTCTTAGCCTGGGCCAGGTACCCAAAGCTTTCAAACTAGCAGTTATTAAACCTCTGATCAAGAAACCAAACCTTGATGCTAGCGTATTGTCTAATTACAGGCCTATTTCTAACCTACCATTTATATCTAAGATCTTAGAAAAAGCTGTAGCCCAACAACTTAGTTCATATCTACATAAGATATATGTATATATAACCACATATATGAAAAATTCCAATCTGGATTCAGGCCACATCACAGCACTGAGACAGCTCTAGTTAAGATAACAAATGATCTTCTTCTTGCCTCTGATCAAGGCTACATATTCCCTGTTGGTGCTACTTGACCTCAGCGCAGCTTTCCATACGATAGACCACAATATTCTCCTAGAAAGGTTAGAAAACATGGTTGGAATCACAGGGACAGCCCTATCATGGTTCAAATCTTACTTAACGGAACGTTATCAGTTCATAAAGGTAAACGATTTATCTTCCAATTATTCAAAAGTAAGATTTGGAATTCCGCAAGGCTCTATTTTAGGACCATTATTATTTACATTATACATGTTACTGTTAGGCACAGTTATAAGTAACCATGACATTAACTTTTACTGTTACGCAGACGATACGCAACTGTACATATCAGCCATGCCTGATGACAAATACAGGTTAAAGAAAATAGAAGATTGTGTAAAAGACGGCAAAGGCTGGATGTTGCGTAACTTCCTCCTTCTAAACAGTAACAAAACAGAGGTTCTCCTTCTGGGTCCAAAAGTGGCAAGAAATAAATTATCAGATTTGACTTTAAATCTCGCTGACTTCCCAGTTATACCTGGTTCAGCAGCAAAAAATCTTGGCGTCATAATTGATCCAGATTTATCATTCAATCAACACATAGGCAGTATCACTAGGACAGCTTTTTTACATCTTCGCCAAAATAAGAAATGCTTTATCGCTGCATGATGCAGAAACATTAGTACATGCCTTTATTACTTCAAGGCTAGACTATTGTAATGCACTACTGACATGCACCAGCAGGAATTTAAGTAAACTTCAACTAGTTCAAAATGCTGCAGCCAGGGTTCTCACTAAAACTAGAAAATTTGATCATATCAGTCCAGTTCTATCATCACTTCATTGGCTGCCTGTTAAATTCCGTATTGATTACAAAATTCTTTTATTGATATATAAAGCCCTACATGGGCTCGCTCCTGAGTACCTGCAAGACCTTATTTCCCATTACGAGCCACCATGATTACTCAGATCACAGAGTGCTGGCTAATAGTTCCCAGAATTCAGAAAGTTTCAGCTGGGGTAAGAGCCTTTTCTTATAAAGCCCCCAAACTCTGGAATGATCTTCCGGAAAATGTTCGGGACTCAGACTCAGTCGCAATCTTCAAATCTAGGCTGAAACTCACTTGTTTAGTTTAGCTTTTGGTAGTTAATGTTCCCCCTTAGATAAAGGCAGCAGATCCAGGGGTCCATGGACACAGGGAATTATAGTAAACTGAGACTTTGGTGCTGTTGTCCCGCCGCTCGCATGCGATCACTCAGGTTTGTGGATGGTGGAGCGGAGGGATGCCAAATTGTTTCAGGGTGCTCCCGTGTCTGTGTGTCCTTTTGGTTCTCTCCTTTTAGTTAAGCTGTTATAGTCAGATCTTCCGGAGTCATTAGCCACACTCTGGAAATGTTCATTCTCTGTTTTACACACAGCCAAACAGAACAAAACTAATTCCATCTCCCCACATTTTTCCGAGTAAATGACTGCCCACCTGTCCGGCTGGACACTGATGGATGATTGTCTGTCGAGCTCTCCTGCTACCCGCTTCAGACTAGTTGCCCATGCCCCAGTCACCGCCACTTGCCCAGCTACTGCCACTTGCTTTGGACTAGCTGCCCACCCTAACTACTACTACTACTACTACTACTATTAATATTAGTAGTATAATAATTTTGTAGGTAGTTTGACCAGAGGAGGATGGGTCCCCCCTTGTGAGCCTTGGTTCCTCCCAAGGTTTCTTCCCCAGCTCTGAGGGAGTTTTTCCTTGCCACTGTCGGCCCTGGCTTGCTCACCTGGAGGAATTACATTTCATGTTAAAACTTTGTCTTTAATGGATTTCTGTGAAGCTGCTTTGTGACAACATCAGTTGTAAAAAGTGCTATACAAATAAATTTGACTTGACTTGACTTGAATTCCATAACAAAATGCATACATTTGGATATGACATAGAAGTATTCATTCAGATTATTGTTAAAGAAAACACTTGGTATTCATTTTTTTATGTAAGAGTTGATTCTCAAAAGTAAACATCAGTATCGAAGTAATGACCCTTCTGTATCGAACGACCCTCTCTTAGTGTTTAGCATGTCCAGCAGTTTCTAATGTTTGATGGCCAATCTCAGTTATTCCTTGAGTTAACAGTGCATCAATTCATCCTCATTCAGGTACTTTTTCCTCTGGTTTGAGTCATTCCAGTAAAGCAAAGTTTTATGACGTGGTCAACAATGTCGAGAGGTCAGCACTGTCAAAACATAACATAACATATCTCATGACTCAGAAAGTGTCATTTCCCAAAAGCTTTGCAGAACATTTATACCCATGCCCATCCATGTTGAAGCAGTCACAGTATAGGTAAATGTTTGTTATCTTTGGTTTCACTTGGATGTGCAGCATGTCTCTGGGCTGGTCAACATGCATGCCTGGACAGACCAGCAGGGTTCTCCCTTTATCACATACAAGCCAGGGACATGATCCATAACAGTCATGTGACTGAATGTCTCCTGCCTCTTGCTCACCATTACATATCTAGACCATGGCTAAGATTGCCCAAGTTGTACTTAGATCAACTTTCCAAATAAAGCAATTTTTTTATTCTAACGTCAAAAACTTGATGAAGCCTTGAGATGAATGAAGAAAGTTTGGTCTTTTCATAAATAAAATCAGTTTATTGTTAGTGCAAAATTCTAAAATTGAAAAAAGGATGTGTACTTGGAAAATCTGGTCTGAGGTTACGTTTGAAAAGCAGGCATGGTGTACATGGTGAATGGAGGCATTCTTTTGAGAGGGTGATAGAAATGCTTTCTCATTGAGACTGATGACATGACAATTTGCTAAGTCAGAAAAACAGTTTTTTTAGCAGCTGGGTTATTTTCTAAACTCATCATGTGATGCCTCTACTAATACACCTATGTTATGTTGCTCTGTTTCTATTACCAATTTAATTTGTCCCACATTTACAGCTAGCATCAGTATCTGCTTGAAGGGACAGTAATCCTGGGCACTCGGGCCAAGGCCGACAAAAGCCTACATGTCAGTGATACTTTTGCATCTAAATATATCATAGATTGACAGCAGCAGGTGAGCGAGGCTCTGTCAGACACTTGCACTGAATGATCAAGCATACACTGTAGGTCACACTGAAGTGTATGTGTGTGTGTGTGGGTGTGTGTGTGTGTGTGTGTGTGTCTCCTTTTTGGGTGTGGTTGGGGCTCAGATGCCATCTCTCTTCATTGTGGACTGAGATCTGAACTACACACAACCCATTTTTTGGGTTTCTCTTCAAAGCCAGCTGGTCTGGCTTTATTTCTTTTTTTTTTCTTTCAGTTCTTTTTTTCAATTAATTATTTTTTAAACATTTTTGTATAAGCTGGCCCACAGCAGGTGCTGGAGGGTAGTGCTTCCTGGGGAAGAAAACAGAAAGGACTGGTAAGTTCTCAGCGATTATGTCAGAATTCACTATGAAAAAGCGCTGGACATGAGCAAAACCTAGAATGTCTGCGATGAGAAGAAAAGAGTGTGAGCTTGAGTGGCATGGTGATTGTGTCTCCTTTGGGATATATGCAGATCTGAGAATAGAAATAGAAAGATACAAATTTAGAGACGAGGCACATGTTTTGGCTTGGTGAAGAGATATGTTTGTCCTGAAACAGGGTACGTGTCATCACTGGCTAATATTGTCATAGTTGTTTAGGGTACACCAATGAAAAAATATTGTTAGAGTTCAAGTTAAGTACATAGCCAAGTAAAGTCAGATGGTTCAATCCTGTATTGATAGCCAACTTGTGGACACAAATATATAAGTATGCTTTCTTTTCACTTCCACATTATACATTTAATATGTGTGCAATTGGTTGATTTTAATGGCTACACTGAGATAAAAAGGTCACTACATGTTGAAAGAACATGAAACAAATAGGAAATGAGATGTCCTACTCTGCTGCACTTCAAGCTAAATCAGCTGACTGCTTGAGCTCTCCTCTCCACTGCTGTCTTGCCTTGTGACTACGGAGGCCACAGCTGCAAGAAATCAATCAGGAGTGGCAGAGAGAATCAAAGACGTATCAAGGGCATTTTAGAAAGCCCACAAAACAGCCCGTGCCTGGCCACAACCACAGCAGCCTTCTCCTTTTTCAGCATCAGTTTCAAAACAAAAGATGTGTCGTGTCTTTTTTTCGAGCTCACATCATACATCAACAACTTGTGAACTTTTGTTTGTGTGTTTTCATGACTGGTCCTGTCAGTGGACGGTGACATTGGCTTGCTTTCTTTTCTGTACCCCCTTATAATGAATTGCACTCAAAAGTTGAATCAGTGTTTATAGACTGATCTGAAGAGTGTTGACCCAGTTTATAGTTCCAGAACTAGAGTGATCAGTACTTGTTGTGTGAGGGTTTTTAGCTTAAGAAACATATTTTGAAACCTCACATTTAGTTGTCATGACCAGAATGCTTATGCTTAAATGAAATAAAATGCTCTGTTGTATGCTGAAAATGTTATATTATAAAGTAGGCCATGAATCATGGTGACTGTGCACATAAGTGTTTATTTCATGCTTTTTTAGCTCTTTGTCCTTCTTGTGTAGTAAAAACATCTTGTTTTCTTGCATGTTTTTGTGGCTGATTTTGGGTGTGGACCATAAAGAGAATTGTCAAAAAAATCCATTATTGTCACTACTGTTAATGATAGATTGAAGTCACCATTTGTCTCCATTTAGAGAAAAAAAATCCATGTAATTGATTGCAAATGATCAAATGAAATAAAGTGATTTTGAGTTATACTGTATGTTACACAAGTTCCACAAGCTAAAGTGCAGTTTTTTGACAGGTTTTTACGACATTTAGCCAAACAATGGCCAAGAACTTGCTACATAATGCTGTACAGTTCAAAGTGGCTTTTCTATAGTGTAAGTCTTTGGCTGAAACAGGAGTACAACATACAAGTTTAATTTCTTTCAGTATTTAGTATGGAGTCATGCTCCAGTTGATCTAACTAAAATAAGCTCCTTGTTACAAGCAAACATCATGGAGTAATATGGCCCAAAATGGGAAGACTTGCGCACATGCTAACCTCCCTAAAGAGCTACAAATCAGCAGAATCATTTAAAAGTGCTGTTCACATATTTAACTTATAATGCTGTTTATGTGAATGGTTGCATAAGTTCATAAATCAACAGGCCGATTGAGAAAATTTCAGAAGTCACTACTACCATCTACTTGTCTACCATCCACAACTACTGATCTGGCTGTTCTGCTAACAATCCCTCAACGTCTTTTTGCATATTTTTCCTCAAGTCAGTGTCTCAGTGTTGAAATGAAAGTATGTTAAATACAAAAGGCATAAAATATATATAAGTCCATAAAGATCTCACAGAGCTATACAGTCTTCTCAAAAACACACAAAGATGTGGTTCAGTATGCTGGTAAAGTTCACTTTTTTTTTTACCCTTCACCACACTTGGCAACTTCAGATGAAATTTGTCAATGAAAAACATTCTCCTAAGAGAGAGCCCATGCTTTCTGTGAGTGTAACTGTCTGTGCTAATGCTGGGAGGGGAGCAAGACAATGGAGGTGAAGGTTTGTGTTTGTCAGTGTGTAGAACTGTGAGCAAGCTTATTTCATTTTCACTTTACTTTTGTCTTTAGGATAATATATATCTCCACTGATAATCAAGTTCACATGATATAGGAGAGAATGACTTTTTCGAATAGGCATCAAAGTGTAATATTCAAACCTGCCACTGATCAGCACTGACACTTAACACAGCTTCTGCTGCATGACTTTACACATGTTAAAATGCTCAATTTATTAATTTAACTACTAAAGAAAAGGAAAAATGTATATTATTTATATGTAACATGTTGTCTCAGGTGCCAAAAGAAAGGCCTGGATACCACAAGCAGCAACTTTATGGAGACACAGAAACGCTGAAGATAAAAACAGAGGAATGAGAGAGTAGAGTTGTTGACAAGACGATATGTGCAAGTAGTTGGTAAGACCTGTCTTATTATCTGTTATCTACTACATTTATGTGTGTGTGTGTGTGTGTGTGTGTGTGTGTGTGTGTGTGTTAAATTCAGCAAATAAACAGTAAATGTGTATTGTGCATTAAAATGTGCAGGAGTGTGTTCTTTATAGAGGATGTGTTCACATATTTTCACTTAGAAAATCAACCAAATGTAATTTGACCAAGGGTGGCCAAACTCTTGCATTAACACAAAGCCTATGTGTTTATGTGTGTACAAATATATATGTACAACCCTGTTTCCTAAAAAGTTGGGACACTTTGAAAAATGTAAATAAAAACAAAATGCAATGATGTGCAAATCATTTAAACCCTATATTTCATTGAAAATGCTTCAAAGACAACATATAATATGCCCATTTTGAATTTGATGCCAACAACACATTCCAAAAAAATTGGGATGGGGGCAACAAAAGGCTGGTAAAGTTGTATAATGCTTAAAAAACACCTGATGATTAACTGGAAACAGGTCATTATTGGGTATAAAAAGAGTATCCAAGAGAGTCTATGTCTTTCAGAAGTAAAGATGAGGAGCGGTCCACCACTCTGTGCGAGTAAATAGTGCAACAATTCAAGAATAACGTTTCTCAATGTAAAATAGCAAAGTATTTTTGCTTTTCATTATCAACGGTACAAGATAACATTAAAAGATTTACAGTATCTGGAGAAATCTCTGTATGCAAGGGAGAAGGCCAAAAACCAGTATTTGCTGGCTGTGATGGGGGCCCTCAGGCAGCACTGCATTAAAAACAGACATGATTCTGTAGTGGAAATCATTGCATGGGCTCAGAAACACTTCTAAAAAAACACTTTATGATAACAGTTCGTCGCTGCATCCACAAATGCTAATTAAAACTCTTAAACGCAAAGAAGAAATCATATATTAACAGGATCCAGGAAGGCTGCCACCTTTTCTAGGCCCGAGCTCATTTAAAATGGACTGAGGAGAAGTGAAAAATTGTTCTGTGGCCCGACGAATCAACATTTGAATTTCTTTTTGGAAATTGTGAACATTGTGACCTCCGGGCTAAAGACCACTCAGCTTGTTATCAGTGCACAGTTCAAAAGCCAGTATTCATGATGGTATAGTGGTGCATTAGTGCACATGGCATGGATGACTGGCACATCTGTGAAGGCATCATTAATGCTGAACAATATATACAGGTTTTGGCAACATATGCTGCCATCCAGACGACATCTTTTTCAGCATGGCTCCATATTAAAAGAGTCCTGATGCTAAACTGGCCTACCTGCAGTCCAGAATTGTCAACACTGAAAACATTTAGTGCCTTATGAAATGAAAAATACGACAAAGGAGACCCCAAACTGTTGAGCAGCTGAACTTCTATATCAAACAACAAAACATTTCACTTTCAAAACTACAGCAATTGGTCTCCTCAGTTCCCAAACACTTACAGAGTGATGATAAAAGAAAAGGTGATGAAACACAGTGATAAACATGACCCCGTCCCAACTTTTTTGGAACGTGTTGTTGGCATCAAATTCAAAATGGGTGTATATTTTTCAAAAAACAATACAATTTCAAAGTTTCAACATTTGATTTGTTGTCTTTGTGCTATTTTAAATGAAATATAGGGTTTAATGATTTGCACATCATTATTATTTTTTTTTTAATATATATATTTTGCACAGTGTCCCAACTTTTTTGTAAATGGGGTGTATATATATGTGTGTGTGTGTGTGTGTGTGTGTGTGTGTGAGAGAGAGAGAGAGAAAGAGAGAGAGAGAGAGAGAGAGAGAGAGAGAGAGAGAGAGAGAAAGAAAGAGAGAGAGAGAGGGAGAGAAAGAGAGAGAGTGTTGACATTGTTGTTTTCTGCACTATATAAAAATAATAAAATATATACAATTAGAATAAATACATATAATCATAAACGCAGCAAAACATGTTTTTGTTTTAAAAAAATTAGTAATATCTCCGTCAGAAGAATACAGATAGGTACGACACAGGTTTGGTTCCTTCTAAGCGCATTCCAGCCATTGCACGGATTCGTTAAAATTCATTAGCAGCACACCTGGTTACTTTAATAAGGGTCTGATTAGCTGAAGCAAGCAATGGATGGTAATTGTGGCCTAATAATAAGCATATTATTGTTTAATAAATTTATTTTCTAAATACATAAATATTTCACTGATTTATGTTTTACTTTTTTATTTGAAATATACTTGATGCTAACGCAAGGCGAACGTAGTAAAACGACACTCAATCTAACTTTGAGGCAACTGATCGCCAGTTTTCATCTGTGTAGTGTACACTGAGAACTGAGTCCGCCCCTTTTTACAGCGACCCCCCCCACCCCCACCCCCAACACTGCGCGCGCCCAGTGCGTGACGAAGTCGTGTTGTGCTTCGTGCCAGTGAAGTGTAGAGAGGAGTCCCACACTGGGATCTAAGTGCAGCAGGAGCGCGCGGAGCACTCTTCTGAAGTCTTTCCAGAGAAACACAAGGATCTTTGAGCACTTTTAGATGTTGACACTTCGTAGTTGCGCCTAAACACCGCTGAAATACGAGGAGTTATGTGATCATGCTCTTGATTTACGGCCGCTGCTGAAGTGATCTCCTGCTGCTTCGCGTTCAGAGAGAGCTTATTGTACTCGCAGCACTCGCGTGGTCCTGTGGACTGCTACTTTAGCTGGACCTGACTGACCAAAACACCAGTGGTCGCCGTCACTCTTTCCAGTAGTCATCCTCATGTCTAACAGTGTAAGTAAATTGTATTCTGCTTTAGGCAACGTTCTGCCATGCTAATGCTCGATACTAAGATATCGCCGGTTTAATATTATATAAGGGGTCCAGTTTACTAATATTTTTGGTAGCTAAACTAGCTGTAGATGTTTTATATCCCGTAAATGCTGTTTGTAGTAAGATGAATGTCTCCACGTTGGGGCAATCTGTAAGACCACTCAGGGTGAGACTGATATTTGAGTAGTAGAATTTAGTAGTAGAAAGTAGAATTTGAGTTCAGTAGCTAATGATGACGCTTTTTGGGTTGGTGATTATATTTGGAATGGAGGTATAGAGTAAGAAAAAACTTAAGGTAATGTATTAAGAGAGCTATTCGTGTTACAAGATAGATATTAATTTAAATGTAAGTAAAAAAACTAGGAAGACATCTGCAAAACTGTTACTGATACGTGTTACTGATACGTAAAAAACAGATTTCCACATTATTGAACATGTTTTAGCCCCTTTAGTGCCTAACTGCAAGAAACTACAGGAAAACCAGAAACTTACATAGAAAGTTGCAAAAAGTCTTGGACAAGTTTGTTGAGTGGCTGTGCAGTTAATGATAGGTATTTTTAAGATAGCATAAACACTCTGAAGTGGAAAATGTATGTCTTAAGTTTTGCTTAAAAAAGCATCTTTACAATTTTGTATTGCATTGAACTTTTGCCGTTAGGTAGTTGATGAAACTAATATCACTAGACATTTTTAAGTTTTACATTATGCATGCTTGTGTCAGATCAGCCATGCTTGTATTCACTTGTTGTTCCCATTAACATATGCACACAAAACATTTCCTATGGGCAGGAAAATGACAGAATATTTCTTGTTCAGTCTTAATTAAATAAGTTACAAATAAGCAGAAACTAATCTAATTAAACCATTGTGAATTGTATAATAAGCCCACTACTATTACTTATGCTGATATACTGATGCTCAGAAAATTGTAGATCATTTACAGAGCCCTTTTTGTAACATATCTATAGCTGTGTTACATAATAATATTGTGATTATTCCATTTAAAAATATTACATGAATTAATCATAATGATTTCACTGTAATGCTATGTAATACTTTGAGATACTGCAGCACATTTCTACTTGCACAGTAAAATTACCTCTGTTGAATTGACATATTTGATTAAATAAATTAACTCGCAGAGGCCAAAATTAATATTATTAGAGTAATTCAAAACAGGAGATTTTGATGTCTGTCAGACATGTGCAGGGCATCCTGCTGGGTGGTCTAAAAGATGGTTGGACCACCATGGCATACGTTAAATTTTACCATTAGCTTCTGAAACATTCGCAGCAGAATGACAGAAATCGCACTGTTATCACTCATAAGACAACTGGAGTGATCAGATTGGCTGAACAAAGATGGAATTAAAGCCTATTAAATGCTAATATTCAGAAATGAGCTAAAGTTACTCATGCAAATAAGTCATCAAAGTTTCAATACCTTGCAAAAGTTATGATAATGGGTTTTTATGCTGTTGCCCATTGCCTTGAAGTGGCCTACTTTCCTCATCAAATAAGGAAAAAAGAGTGTACACTTTCCTCAGATATCATGTATATATCCCCTACGGTACTTAGGGGAAAGGAAAGTGAGAGCGTGTATCCATCAATATTTACTTTATGCACATTTAACCTCATATTTATCCCTATGTAAATGAGCAGATGAAACATGATCTGTCCTGGTTTAGGGATTTGCTGATCTTTCCTGAAAACAGTTCATTTTGCAAAGCTCACAGAGTAATATTGCCCAAGCCCCCCCTCAGATATTAACTGTAATCTATCTTTGTCACTGGTGTAAAACGCTCAATTCAGCCCATTATACCGGTCCAGTGAGGAGGCTTCACACACAGAGAGCTCTTTATATGACGGCCTTATGTAGCGTTAATCAGCATGCTCCCTCTGCCCAAGACATCCATTAAAGAGCATATTTTTAGTGGGTCATGTGCCCATAGTTTGGAGTGAGGTGATCTCAAATCACTTTGTGACTTTAAGGTGAAAAGATGCAGTTACAGAGAGCAAGCACTTTAGGCAAAGGCCTCAACCTTCAGATTTAGAGGACCATCATTAGCTGCTTTAACTTTCTGTCTGTCCGAAAGATATTCCAACTGTTGTGTTTAGACCAGCAGCTGAGTTTAGAGAGTCTCTGCAGTTGGAATTTAGGCCAGGTACCACTCACATGCCTAAATGTGCATTTATAACCTGCTGAGG